AAACAGTAGTCGCGGGAGCTATAGGTATGGATGCAAAGTCGAAATCCATCATTCTCACCAAGTACTTCCAGCTAGCTGCCTATGGTAAATGATAGCAAACATAAGCTCTACAAGGTTTAGTTTTTAATTACTTTTTTTGGTGTTTGAACTCCGTAAAAGATTCTACCGCAAAAAGGTTCTACAAATCAGTTAGTTACATTTTTATAAATTGTTTAAGATGTTGTAATGATCATGATGAACAAAAAGGTTCTATAGAACCATGTTGCAATCTCTGCCTCTTTTTACTACTTATAATTTTCAGTCCTATAATTTTTTTAATGCCTCTTTTTATACTTTTGCTAATTTCTAAACATAAATTTTCCAGATCCAAATCGTGAAATGGATGCACAAGTGGGTAAAGAATGCAGATCGATGGTTGCTGAATTTCTATAAATATCTGAAGAAAGTTGCCATAAGATGGTAAGTAGAATTGTGAGACACTATCAAGTTTTTACTAATGTTCTACGCAAGATTTTATTATAAATAATAAATGGTTTAAACGTTATTAGGGAACTGCAATCAAAGACAATATCCAAGAGAGGTTAATCAGACATAAGACAACTTCCCAGAAACAAACTGGAGAATGGTGATGATGATGACACAGACGACCAGCTCTATGAAGAATAAGAATATTTCAAACATGACATTGGGAGTGACGAAGATGAAAATGGACGATACTATGACGAGAAGGAAGATGTTGAAGAAGAACTGGAGAAAACTGTTAAGAGAGATGCAAAAGATAACAAATAAGGTCAATTTTTAGTAAGCATTAAAAAAAAGAATTAAGATCAGTTTACTCATGACCACATTTACTAAATTCCCTTAGTCTCTTACTTTATTTCTCTTTGTATCAGTAAAATTCATCTACTGACGGTGATGTGTGTGATTTTTGTATTAATATCAAATGTTGCTTTCTTGGGTTGCAGACAAAGAAGCTCTCGAGCTTGAGAAGTATCCGATGAGAAGGTCATAGATGGTGTCTTGACAACTATCTCTTGCTTGACAGGCGATGAAGTGAAAAGGAAACTGCAAGAACTTTGAAGGCCTTGATTAAAGACTTTGTGCATGATAACAATGATGTAAGTCTTAAAAAATACAAAGGCCTTGAAGAACAAAAGGAAAGGTGACTCTCTATTCCGTGCTATTCATATTTCACGGTTAGATCAAGCAGGGATGACCTACATGCCATGGCTGAGCCATTGCCAAGGGCTAACAAGAAGGGCGGCCAGGTCAATTATCATGATCAAGCCAAAGGTCATGAGCTTCAATTCATGTTTGCAGGGGAAGCAACACGTAGAACACATTACTACACAATTCATGGTGTTTACTTTAGTGGTTTCAGGGAAGCCAATAAGCTTCTCAAACATTAAAAAATGTGAATTTTGAGTGTTAGTTTTAAGATATGTTTTCTATTCTATATTACAAATTTCACGCTTGTTTCAATAAAAAAAAACAAGGAAAGTTAAAAAAAAGAAAAATATAAAAATGTATAATTGAATTTGCATCTTTGTTTGTGCTGAAGAGAGAATGAAATGAACACTATTATATGTTATCTTTTCATGGAGTACGAAACATATGAGAGAAGTGGAGAACAACTGCGTATTAATTATGGTAGAATTAATAGAATGAGTCTAAGATCAACTCTTCGGGTTCGTGGACTGTCTAGTAGAGGAGGAATGCACGGTTTTGGATACATGAGCAAACATAGAAGATACAAGTTTATTAGAGTCCCATAATTTTCATATTTGAGCTTCTTTGCTTTTTGTTTACTCTTTACTCCAATTTAGAATTTTTTTCAGTCCTCTTTTATAAGAAACTTATAAATATGTATACTATTTAATATTTTAAAATAAAATGTTTAATTCTTAAAAATATATAAATCAGCAAGTGGAAAGCATCATCATCTATATCTATGTTGAATAATTTTAATATAATTTTTAACAACTGAGTTATATGAAAATAAATTAGAAATAAATTTATTTTTAACAAAGTTAAATAATGAAAGTGTATATGAAGATAATTTACAATAATATGAAAGATCATGTCATTTGATAACATTTCAAATATTATTCAGTCATATACTTTTTCAATAATATTATTTCCGTTTCAATTTAGTTGTCGTTTTAAGCTTTTGCACACAGATTAAAAAAATGTTTAATTTTATATATTTTCTAAAAAACACAATTACATATACACCTAACCACAGTTCAGCCAATAGAATATAGAATGGTAGATCAATTATTTTGAAACGAAAATTTTATACTACAACGACAATTAAATTAAAGCAGAGGAAGTAGTAACTAATATGTTTTTTTTTCATTATGTTACCCAACTATAAAATAATTGCCTATTATAATGATTTATTTAATATTCACTTTTGCCTTATTTAAAGTAATTTTTAAAATAGTACAATTTATGATAACAAACGTATTAACAAATTCAAAAAATAGTTTGTGTGGTAAGACTTCACTGAACAATGAGGAGTATAAAACTATTTGCGTAATATCAACACTGATGAAAGTTTACAATATCTAAACACAAATAAGAATATCCCCTATGCACGGCGGTTGACCTTAGTGTAATAATATAACTAGATTTTGAACCCGCACATTTGTGCGGATAGTCTTTCATTTTCTAAATATAAAAATTTAATATATGTTAACAATTTTATTTTCTGTAAATTTCTTACATAATTTACGAATGTTTAATCTTTTTAAAATGTAAATAATATTTCAGTCACTTAAATGGTGAATGATATTTTATTTATTTATTTAAATGATTTTTTTTTTAAAAATATGTATTAGTTTATCAAATTAATTTAATTTAATTTAATTTTTATATGTAATTCATTTATTATTTCTATTTAATATAATATAGACTATACTTATAAAATTTATAAAATTGGCATATAGTATATTATATTTTGTTTATATTAAAACTTTAACTAAGATTAATGTATAATAATAGTATACTACTAATTACGAAATTAATCAGTGCATTAATTAAAAACGATTTATTTTTTTTTAAAAAATTTTATTACTTTTTTTCTCAACAGAATTTGTGATTACTAAAACTAAAACTTAAAAATTACAGTTAAAATAGATTTGTTATTAATATCTTTATAATTCTTTAGAAATGTTATATATGAAATAAACTAATGTAAATAATCAAAACAATGTAACTGAATATATTGACCTCGTATGACTATTCTATATAGATAAAAATGATACTTCTCTTTTAATAAATAACTAGATTTCGACCCGCACAACCGTGCGGGTATTTTAATACTAAAATATTTGAAATTATACAATATTTCCTCCGTTTCAAATTAGACAATGTTTTAAAAGATTTATTTTACTTAAAATATAAGATGTTTTAAAATTTTAAAGTATATTTTAAGATTTTAAAGTTATTTTTAAGTTTATTAGAAACTGTTCAACCAATTTTACTGTTTTTTTTATAATTGGTTGAATGATGTTAAAAATATATCTTTAAAAATACTTTTGTAAAAGAATGTAAATTTCTTAATCTTTGTACAATGATCCAAAACATTATATATTGAGAAACGGAGTGAGTAAAATTTATCAATAAATAAATATAATTTGACTCTGTAACTATCCAATGTTATAATAATATTTATGTGGCTTATGATATTATTAATATAAAAATTAAAAAATTTGTATTTTTGTATTAATTTTTAAAAAATTATTATGTAACATTACTAATTTATATTTTGTTTTATTTCTAAATTTGAAATATATGTAAAAGGTAAATTAAGTTGGACCTACATAATACATAAACAAAATTTTGAGATATTGTTAAAATTTTTTAAACAAATTTATTTTTTGTTTATAAATAATAGTGAATTAAAATTTTTAATTATATTTTCTGATAATTAAAATTTGAATCAAATAATTTTTGAAACTATATCTTGAAAAGATTCTAAAAGATTTTCAAAAGATTTTGTTATACTTTTCTTAAAACTAACTATTTGTATTTCAATTAAAGATATGAAAAGATATTATAATGATGTTATCTTAAATTTTATAAAACTTTTAAGATGGTCCAAACTAAAAAATCACACATGAAATGAGTCATGACTTCTCTTTTAATATAATAGAAATAAAATTTTTAAGATGGTCCAAACTGAAAAATCACACATGAAATGAGTCATGACTTCTCTTTTAATATAATAGAAATAGAAATGAATAAAGAAAATGAATCTACTCTAGTGGGGTGTCCAAGAATAACTCCTATAAAAATGTCATCATCCTTTCACACTCTAATCAAAACGCATCCTTTTATTGGTTGCGCAAGCAGAAAAGCTCCGTGTCTGAGTAGACTTCTCTCCTTAGTTGCAAAGCTTAGGACTTTAGATTTAATAGAATCTGCCTTATTTTACTCTGCTGATGATGTAGCTTCCCACTTGAGCTCTAGTGTAAGCTTTTTCCTTTTCATTCTCCGCTAATGAAAACAAACCCAACTTTCTACTTTTAGCTTAAAGTTCAAACTTTTATTACTCTCTTGCTTTGTATTTGCTTAAAGGGAACACCACTCGTGTAGTTGTCGTCTCTGTTTTTGAATTGTCTGAAACTCTGAACTTTGGTCTCTTTACTATACTCTTGTAATGTTCTGTGAGTTGCGTTTGTCAAAGTTTTCGAGTTTTGAATTTTAAAAGTGTTGTCTGCTTTCGCATTGTTGGAGTTTTGTGTCCTTTAGTCTTTTTTTTTTTTTTTATGCGGTGAGGTTTGTCCTCTTTGAAGTCAATTTGTGAATTGATTTTGTAACGTCTTCTTCCTTGTTGTAGGATACTGGTGGAAGTTTGATTCATTAACTTTGCTACGTGTGAGGGTTTTTCAAGCATCTCTTTTTGTCTTCAAAGATCCTCTCTTTGATCTCTAGCAGTTTGTATCAAAAATCAATAGTTGTTGTTGTGTTCTGGTCAAGTAATCATCAACGAGATGGATCACCCTTTTGATTCAAGAGATAATGGGTTTGGTTATCAAGAACAAATGGATGGATTAAGCTTTGGTTTCAGTTTGATCTCTGATGACATGCTTAACTCCTCTTCCTCATCCGAGCTTATGAACTTCGACTCTTTCGCCACATGGTGTGACAACCCTTCTGAGACTGATGCCTTGTTCTCCCAATATGGCCTAATGACCTCTCAACCTATGCCCTTTGGAGCCACCACTTCATCTCATGCAGCTGAGCTGAGAAGTGCTACCTTTTCAGGTCTTCCTCGTTCATTACACGGTTTGGAAAGCTCTTACATGAGCTCTCAGAGTCATTACTCATTAGATAGCGATGAGTTTAGTGGTAAACGACACAGTGTACTGAACTGTACTATTCCCAGGTCTTTGAGCCATTCATTAGATGAGAAGATGCTTAAGGCATTAAGCTTATTTATGCAGTTCTCAGGTTCAGGAGAGGGCATTTTAGCACAAGTTTGGACACCTATCAAGACAGGAGACCGGTACATGCTCAGTACATGTGATCAGGCCTATTTGCTTGACCCAAGGCTCTCTCAGTACCGTGAAGTGTCAAGTAAATTCACCTTTGCTTCTGAAGCAAACCAATGTTCTTTTCCTGGACTCCCTGGTAGAGTCTTTATCTCTGGAGTACGTGAATGGACATCAAGCGTGATGTATTACAAGACGGATGAGTATCTGCGTATGAAACATGCTATAGATAATCAAGTCCGTGGCTCCATTGCCATACCTATTCTTGAAGCATCTGGTACATCTTGTTGTGCTGTCATGGAGCTTGTCACATACGATGAAAAGCTCAATTTTGATATGGAGATGGACTCTGTTTGCCTCGCTCTCCAGGTTGACCCACTTTCCCTCTCTCTCTCTTTTATGTATGTTTAAATATATTAATGATACCTTTTAGCTTATGAAAATTAAAGTCAAAAGCATTGAACATAGAGAACTTGTGTCAATCTCGTCATAAACAATGGTGTTTTTTGCAGCAGCAAGTGCACAAACACAACTTTTAAACTTTATGCAAAACTTGATTTAGGGTCTGACAATCTTTGTTGGCTTAAGAACTGCCTGAGTCCTCTGCCACCACTGTCCATGAAAGCTTCCAGGGCAGCTCTGGAGACAGTTTGTTGTTGGTTGAAAGGTTACAAAATGCAGTTACTGATCCCTTGTATTGTACCAAATATGTCGAAAACTTATCGAATACTTTCTGTGTCTTTTCCAGGCTGTAAATTTAAGGACACCAGTGGTCCCTCGCCCTCAGGTAACTTCTGAACCAAACAAAATCTTAGCTATGTACAATCCATTTTTATGCTTCAGTCTAATGGTACTTCTTTCCAGTACCTTTCAAGTAACCAAAGAGATGCCTTAGCTGAAATACAAGATGTTCTGCGAGCAGTGTGTCTTGCACACAAGTTGCCTTTAGCTCTAACCTGGATCCCAAACTCAGGTGAAAATTGTGTTCTTTGGGTAGAGGAGACAGCTTGTTTTGTGAATGATATGGACATGGAAGGCTTTGTCCACGTGTGTTTGGAGCATCCTCTAAGAGAAGAGGAAGGTATCGTTGGCAAAGCTTTTGTATCAAACCAACCGTTCTTTTCTTCTGATGTGAAGGCATATGACATCAGTGAGTACCCTCTTGTTCAGCATGCTAGAAAGTATGGTCTGAATGCTGCTGTTGCTATAAAACTGAGGAGTACTTACACTGGTGAAGATGATTACATACTCGAACTTTTCTTGCCTCAAAATATGAACGGAAACGTGGAACAGCAACTTTTATTAGACAGCCTTTCGGGTACTATGCAGAGGATTTGTCGAACTCTGAGAACTGTTTCAGATGTGGGAGCAACTCAAGAAGAAGTGAGTGGAGAGATGTCTTATTTCCCGCAGAACACATGTTCGGGAAGCTTTCAGACAATAGTATTGGACTCTGAACTTAACTCTACTACAACCATGTTTTCAGATATGTGCTCTGATCAAGAAAATGGCAGTACAGGATCCCAAGGCACTTGTGAGCAGGTATGTTGATGTATCCAATTTAGTTATTCTGTAGATAATGAACACTGATATTTTTTTATTTTCATAGAGTATGAGCAAAGCTAGAACACCAGAGAAGAAGAAGGGCGCCACAGGGAAGAATGTGAGCTTAAGAGTTCTCCAACAACATTTCTCTGGGAGTCTAAAGGATGCTGCAAAAAGCATTGGTGGTGAGACTTCACACATTTTTTCAGGCATTGATGTGTTTCCATTACCAGACAAACTTTCTAACGGTCTTCACTTTGGATCTAATGTTGTAGTTTGTCCCACTACACTGAAACGGATATGCAGACAACATGGGATCATGAGGTGGCCATCTCGTAAGATTAGCAAAGTGAATAGGTCTTTAAGAAAAATACAAACGGTGCTTGACTCTGTCCAGGGTATAGAAGGAGGACTGAAGTTTAACTCAGCAACGGGAAAGTTTGTTGCAGTTGGCTCTTCTAACGGTAACAATGCACATGTAAGAGGTCAGGAGGATACCTCCTTTGAGCTCTTGAAAGCTAAATCACTCGACAATGCAATTAAATTAGAGGATGATATCATCAAGAACGGTAAGAATATCTCTATGCCATAAACCTTAGATGGAGAAGACTACAATCTTAAGTCATTTTCTTTTTGTGCAGGATCATTCATGGAGGTTAATGCTAGTGGCAGCTCTCAGGAAATTGCAAATGGCATGGATACTACAACTAGATGCAGTGGCAATATTATGGAACCTAACAAGTACAAGTCAGATTCATCAAATGGCTCAGGAGCAGTTATGCTCAGAAGCTCATCTACTTTCATGGATGGTGGGAACCAAATGAGAACAAACAAAAGCAATAGCAGTGAGAGTGGATCGAAAATGATCACTGTAAAGGCCACTTACAGAGAAGACACAATACGTTTCAAGTTCGAGCCATTGGTTGGGTGCCTACAGCTCTACAAAGAAGTTAGGAAACGCTTTAAACTACAAAGCGGCTTGTTTCAACTCGAGTACTTAGACGATGAAGAGGAATGGGTGATGCTGGTTACAGATTCTGATCTCCAAGAGTGTTTGGAGATATTAGATGGTATGGGAAAACACACAGTGAAGTTCCTTGTTCGTGATTTGCCTGGGCCTTTAGGTAGTTCTTCTGGCAGTAATGGTTTCCTTGGAGCAGGTTTATAACACCTACTGCTCAGTTGTCTTCTCCTGTGAAAGAATGTTGTTTATTTCTCCATATATTAGTTTGCTTGTAAAAATATGGCGTGAGGGAAAAAGGCAATGGTATATTGGAGTCAGTATACTGTATATGATAATCGTTATATATGAACTGATAATAAAAGTGAGATGCCTTAACAAAATTGCTCTGTAATCATCTATTAGCTCATCTTTCACGAACTTAGCCAAAAAGCTCATCTTTCACTAAGAACTAGCTTGGCCGTAGTTCGAGACAGAGAGACTAGTGCTACCTTATGTTTTGAAACTTTTAAATACATTTTTAATCAATTATCACATGGTAAGGTCATTTAGATGTATATATTTATGGGAGAATTTGCCAAATGACTAAAATCTCAAGTCTAATTAAGTGAGTAGCATTGATTTTGACATAATTTAGTGAATAATATCTAATACCCAATTAATCAGGTTATACCCTTTACTTCTATAAGTTACTGGCAATGTTTTGAAACCCGACCCCGACATTGAACCGAACGACTTCCCGGGTCGCCGGATCATTGGATCGACCGTGGGTGAACTGTATGTTAATAAATTAATTAATTTTACTATATAATAATATATTAGCTATGAAAATAAAAATATAGAAGCTAAAGTTAAGTATTTTCTACGTATTTTTTAAAACATAAAATAATAGTTTGGAAATGTATATATTTATTTTTAAAGCATTTAGTATATACTTAATTTTAGTTTCTATATTTTTATATTTACTTGACATACAAAATATCAAAATAATTTAAATTATTATCTTTTTGTGAATTTAAGAACTTAAGAGTTATGACATCTAACAAAAAATATTAAACTTTTAATTCATAAATATTTAAATGTCTAATGTGAATAATATAATTCAATTTCAAATCCAAAACCAAAAGTAAAACATAGTTATGATAAATTATTGATAATAAGATAAACTAACACCAAATTACATCAACTAATTTTGGTTTTCTCTACTATCGCTCACTTTATTTTCTTCCAGTGGTATAGTAACTTCATAAAAATCAAAAAATCATAAATAAAATAGTATAATTGGTATTATATATTAATAAGAAATTTAAATCAAAGCATAAATAAAACTAAAAAAAAAAGAAGTATTATTGGTCAACCAGTGGTTCAACCGGTAGTCGGGTTCCAGGTTTTAGTGATTTTTTGCGGGTTATACTGAGTTTTTAAATATAAGTTTTTTCACAAAACTGAAACCGGATTTATCTTGGATCACCGGGTTTACCAGTTCAACTGCGGATCCGGGTCGGGTTTCAAAACACTGGTTACCGGTGACAAATAATGAAGAGAGACACTGAAACCAATTTATGTAGTTTATAATTTATGTGATCTTTACATAACTTATGAAAGAAAAAAGAACCAAGTCACTTTAATTTTCACAATATAAATAAACACAGATAAAAGAAGATGAATGGATAAAGAAGTTAATGGTTACCAGATTGCGTGTATACTATTTTATCTTAGTTACACATGTACTATTTTATCTCATCCAAACTTCTACTGGAAATTATACATATAAAACCAACCACAACCGCTAAATAATATACCTAATTCCCAACTTAGTAAATCTAAACCTTAGTCAGTAGACTATAAACCCAAATATAATCTATAAATTATTTTATCTTACATATAAATAAAATGGACTGTTCTATTACATATAAATAAAATAGTATAAAAGTTCAACTTGATCTCAACTCCTAAATAATAAATCCTATCCTAGCTCCACCCACCCCAAGCTCCTAAACCCTAAACCTTAAATCCAAATATAAATAATAAACTCAAATAAAGAATGTATTCCATATCACCGAAAGAGTATAGAATTCTAACCCAACAAACAACTCCTAAGTGCTAAACCCGGACCAAACTTTTGAATACTAAACCTTAAATTTCTACACTAAACCCAAACTTTAACCCTCACCTTCCAAAATACTAAACTCTAAATTATAATTACTAAACCCCAAATCCAAGTATATATCTTAAACCCAAATAGAATGGAATAAAATACATAGTATAATACATATTAGTGAACAAAATAAAACACTTTTTATTAATCGTCAAATGAAACGATACATGTTCACTTCCAAATCTCAACCCTGTCCTTCCAAATACTAAACCTTAAATCTTAATCACTAATCTCTAAACCCAAGTATAAACCCTAAACCCAAATATAAACCATAACCCTAAAATCTAAACCTAAATCTCAAAATCTAAACCCAAATCTCACCAAACTCACCAAACTCACCTCTATTACTCCAAATACTAAATCCTAATCACCAATTACTAAACCCTAAACCCAAATATAAACTCTAACTCCAAATATAAAAATCTAAAACAATACATAATATTATAGAATATTAATCTGTATATGCAAATATTATTTATAGTATAGAAATGTAGTATATTATACTAATATAAGGGTTCATTTGCTATTTATTCAAATTGGTTTTGAACCATTACACATAAACCAATATATTATGAAATTCATATTACAACCAATTACAAAAAATGACAGAGAAGAGAACTATCAAATTTGAAAATATGACAGATTATCACATTTTTAAGGAATAGTATAGAAATATACCCAAATAGTAATTTTACATAAATAACTACACTAAAGTACTATACTATTCTTTTCCAGAATATAGTATAGACGACGAGTTCATCTTATTCAATTCTTATCTTTTCAAATATGTTGGTACACCTTCATTACGTTCACCGTCGTTATACTTCACCACCATATAGAGATCATCTTCATCTCTTCTCCTTTTTTCCAACACGACGACGCTTTTACTGGCCTACCATCGTTATTCTTCACCATTGGATCACTAAAACCAAAAAAGAAATGAAAACAAAGTATGAACACAGAGTATGAAAACAAAGTATGAAAACAAAAACATGATTTAAGAGAAGGAAGAAAAGAAATGAAAGAGTAGTTATGTATGCTTACCGTCTACACCTTCATCGTTGCTCTTCTCATGAGAAGAAATTCAGTTGAAGAAGATGTGTGCATAATGAATGACCACGTTCATCTTCCTTAAAGATATCTAAGTATTTTGAAAGGTGAGAGTAAATACAACCTGACCACATATTTTAATTATTACATTAATTAGTTATTTATTTAATTATTTTTGATAGTTAGTTTCACTGGTTGAATATAGGGGCAATATAGTAATATTATATAAGAAGAAGGTTGTATAGGTGATGTAGGTTTTTTTGTTAGACATTGAATTATAATTTGTTTGAAAGCTATACAATGCAATTTCCCTATATTTATAGTGGAAATGAGAGCTAAATGATTTTTGTAAATGATAATCTTGCGTCGCCTTATTTATACGTTTCTTTTCAGTTATCACATTGTAAGGTCATATAGACGTATTTATGTATAAGCTAAATGATTTTTTTGTGGTAGTTTCATATAGGTTTGGGTATTCGGGTATCCATTTGGGTACATATCAATTTTTCGGGTATCAGATTTTTCAGATTTTGAATTCAAGACCCATTCGGGTATTATAAATTTACGGGTCAGGTTAGAATCGGGTCTTCCCGGATCTGGGTAGGTTTGGGTCTGATACATAAAGTAAACAAATTCAGAACCTAAAAGTAGCCAAATTCAGAACCCATTCGGGTATTATAAATTTATGGGACGGATTCGAATCGGGTCTTCCCGGGTCCGGGTGGGTTCGGGTCTGACGCATATGAACCTAAAAGTAACCAAATAACCAATGTATCTGAAACGGGCTCGGTTATTTGTACCCAGAGTAACCATATTATCCGATATGATTCGGATATTGAGTATCCAAACTACCTATTTTACCTAGACATAACCAAAAATACTCGTTAGACACATTGTTTGGATATTTTATATCAGAAATATGATATTTTATCTAAATATAATGAAAAATACCAAAATAACTAACATATTTAATTTATAGTTTTAATTTTAAATTATTAAAATATTAATTAAGTATAATTATAAATAATATCTTGAGATACATATTTACATTTCGGATATTTCGGATACTCATTCGGTTCTCGACTCGGGTCGAGTTTGGTACCGATTCTTCGGATATAGAAATTTAGGACCCATTCGATTATTTACTCCGGGTCCGATCAGGTTCGGAACCCTGATTTTTTGGATCGGTTTCGGTCGGTTCTTCGATTCTGGATATTTTGCATTCTTATCAGTTCACATGGTAAGGTCATTCAGATATAAATTTATAGGACTAGTGACAGTTAAAAACAAAGTGAAACAGAGAGTAGATTGAAGAGATATAGAGAAAGAAGATGGCCATGACAACGAAGTCAGTTTTTTTCCTTCGCCACATTTTCCTCCTTTTTCGGTCATCTTTGGTAATTAACTTTGTATTTATTCACATATATTTGTTGAAAACTTTGTGATTCACAATTAAAATGATTCAGAAAGTATTTCACTACGTGATCTAGTAAGTTCCTCTATGCGAATAAAGTTAAGGGAGTGTATTACAACGACCTCTTATAGCATATCTATCAATGGAGAGTTAGCAGGTTATTTCCACGGTAAGAAAGGTCTAAGACAAGGTGACCCTATATCTTCGTTGCTGTTTGTGCTTATAATGGATGTTCTGTCAAGACTATTAGACAAAGGCGCTGTGGATAATACATTTGGTCTTCATCCTTCGTGCCAGGCTCCCTTGGTTACTCATCTCAGTTTTGCCGATGATGTGTTAGTTTTCTTTGATGGGATAGAAGAATCTTTGAGAGGAATTCTAAGTATTATGGAAGATTTTAAGAAGGTCTCCGGCTTGTCTATGAATCACAATAAGACTGAGTTACTTATTGATGGGGGTAGTACTACACGGTGCAGAGAGTTGGCAGAAAGAGTTGGTATTGCTCAGGGATCTCTGCCTGTGAGATATTTAGGAGTCCCTCTATCCTCCCGAATGATGAAGAAATCGGATTTCCAACCCCTCCTCGATAAGGTTACCACTCGTTTTAGATCTTGGACGGTAAGCACTTATCTTATGCCGGCCGCCTGGTATTAATCAGATCAGTCATCTATTCAATCATTACCTTTTGGGCGACTATCTTTATCTTGCCAAAGGAATGTGTGGATGCTTTGGAGCGCATGTGCAATGGCTTCTTATGGAATGGGGACTCGAGTTCAGCAAGAGGAGCTAAAGTGTCTTGGGACTCTGTTTGTTCTCCTATAGTTTGTGGAGGTTTGGGTTTGAAACGAATTGCTGAGTGGAACCATGTTCTTGCTCTTAAATTGGTCTGGTTAATTTTCTCTAAGAACTGTTCATTGTGGGCTTGTTGGATTCGGGTGAATATGATAGGCAACGAGAATTTTTGGACTCTTCAAGTTTCACCAAGAAGCAGTTGGATCTGGAAAGCAATTTGTAAGTTACGTCAGGTAGCGAGACAGTTTGTGGTGTGTGAGGTTGGATCAGGGATCACAGCAAGCTTTTGGCAAGACTCTTGGACGCCTCTAGGTCCGCTGATTGAGATCACATGACCAGAAGGTCCACAAGTCACTGGTTTACCCATAGACGCTACTGTGGCTGAAAGTATTAGAGATGGAAATTGGTGGCTCTCTAGTATGAGAACTAGAAGTCCTCTAATCCAGTTACTGAAGCAATGTTTGCCCCCAGCAGATCCCATAGTGAGCTCAGAAATGGACGATACATACGCTTGGAAAGTAGGTGATCAAGCCCCTGTTCAAAAGTTTCCAACTGCTGTAACTTGGACTTTCTTGTTTCCTCCGGATCAGGAAGTTTCTTGGCACAAACAGGTCTGGTTCTCTGGCCATATCCCGAAGAACGCCTTTCATACTTGGGTAAATGTTAGGCATAGATTGGCGAACAGGGATAGAATGAGACAATGGGGTCTCGATGTTCCTGCAAATTGCATGCTTTGCTCAGATTACAATGAAACGCGTCAGCATCTTTACTTCGATTGTCAATACAGTTCCCAAATCTGGTTGTATTTCATGGTGAAAGCCAATCTCCAGCCTCCTCAGGATTTTGATTCGCTCTTGAGTTGGCTCCATAGGCCTTCTTCCAACAGCCATTTAGTTCTCATCATTAGGTTTATTTACCAAGCTTCAAAGTACCCCATTTGGAAAGAGCGTAATGCTAGACTTCACTCCTCAATATCGCGACCTCCTGAAGCAATTATCTCAGACATCAGAGACACTCTTCGACTTCGTTTGGACCCCTCTCAAGATCTCTTGCCTCAAGATCAGCCTCTTTATCCTCCAACCCACCTGTTTCTTTATTAGGAACGTGGCTTTCGCTTTTCTAACATGGTAAGTTTTAATAGGAGTAGAATAGATTTGTAAGGCATCCTGGTGTTGTAAGGCCTATTTTGGAACTCTTTTTTTGGGTGTGTATCGGTTTATAATTATTAATGGAATTTAAAAAAAAAAAAGAATAAAGTTAATATTAACTTACATACTTAACAACTTTGCATAAGCCAAAAAAATAAAAATTCCGAGGCAAACAAAACAAGTACTTGTTTTAAAATCTTTCACTTTAGCATCGACGTGTAGATATCTGACCATCGTTCGTTTAATTTATGGTTAATTAACGGTCAGAAACTACATGTAACTCTGTGACGTGTGAACAATATCGTTGTGTCTTATGAGTTATGACAGCTAAACGAGTCTTTGATAATAATTTATTGGCCCAACAATAAAGATAAATAGCATAGTACCAGTTGATTTACACATACGTTAACTCCAAAGTGAAACAAGATAGTAGAGTGATATATAGAGAGTAGATGGCCATTGCAGCGAATCCAGTTTCTTCCTTCGCCGTATTTTTCATTCTCTTTTTGGTTATCTTTGGTAATTACTAACTCCGTATTTATTCACATATGTTTTTTTAAAATTTATGTGTTTCATTAAGTGATCCAGAGAGTATTTCTCTCGTTAATCAGAAAGTTTCATAATATATATGTGATTACTATATTCTCATCAAGTATTCAGTGTATACATAATGAGCAGAAGTGCCAGAGATAGACGCACAAGATAGGGAATGCTTGAAGGAATACGGTGGCGATGTTGGCTTCAGTCTCTGTGCGCCTATGATATATCCATCGTTTTGTGTCAGACGATGTCGTTCGGAGAAGGGAGCTAAAGGTGGAGAATGTCGTTGGGGAGATGAGTTTAATGTTAAGTGCTTATGCGACTTCTGCAGCCACAAAGCTTATGATCAGATTCTAAGTACTGGTATTTGATCAATCCTGCATGTGTTCGTGTAATAACAAAGGTGAAGATGGTCCAAGTAATAATGTAATGTACTAATAAATATGTGAAATAAATAAAAGAAAGCCGACAGTATCTAAGGCTCTTAATTATGGTCTGATCATATTATATAGTTGGTATCGTGGTTAGAGGCGAACTATATTAAACCTCGTACTTCAGAACTTTGCATAAGCCAAAAGAATCCTAGGCGATGTAAATGTCTACTCGGTTTAAAAATAGAGTACATCCACATGAGATATCTGACTGTAGTGTTTTAACTGTCAGATCGATTAAATTCCCGTTAATCAACGGCAAAAAAAACAAATGTAACTGCGACGTGTAAACAAGAGATCTAAATAGAGTTTGTTCCGTATGCTTATGCGACTTCTGGAGTGACAAACTTTTATGAATTAGTTTTTGGTTTTAGATTTGGTTTTAGATTTTAGTTTTTGGTTTTTAGATTTTAGATTTTTGTTTTCGGCTTTCAGCTTTTGGTTTTTAGTTTTTAGATTTGGTTTTTGATTTTTCTGTAGTTTTAGTTTTTAAACAATAATCAATACCTTGTTTTAAAATAATAATAAAAAATAATGAAATATTTATAAGTTATCATTAAAATAAAATGCATTAACATTATTTTCAATTATTTTGTTTTTAAATATTATACTAAAATATAAACAATAAAATTTATATTAATTATAAAAATTAAAATATTTTTAAAAAGTTAAACTATTTATAAATTTTCTTATATGCTTTTTTATATTTTAAAACCTGAAGGGCTATTTTCAAATTAATATTATATATTTTATTAATAAAATAATTAATTTTTTAACTTTTATTTATTTTAGTGTGTCTTATAATTATTAAAATTATTCAATGAATTTTCTAGAAATTAATAACTTATTTTCTAGAAATTAATAACTAATTGTTTACAATTAATTAATGTTATATAAAAATATCCGATTTACTGATATAAACACAAATAAATTATTTTAAATTAAGGTTTGAATGATATATTATCTACAAAGAATTGTATGGATAATTTATCTTTATGAAAATATTATTTATTTAACTAAAATATAGATTTTTAATACAAAAAGAATGAAATTCGTTTTTGTATTAAAATCCCACAAAAATTGGGTTTTTGGTTTTTCTTCACAAATTGGTTAAAATTTTGAAAAACTAGTTTCCCTAAATTTTAGGGAATCTATTTGTTTAAAAACTTGATTGGCAAGAAAAATAGTTTTTTTCAAAAGCAAAAACCAAAAACAAAAACTTGATTGGAAGAAAAATGTTTTTCAGAAAAACAAAAACTAAAAACTAAAACAAAAACCACAAAAAATCAACTCTTAAGTAGAATCCTGCATGTGTTAGAGCACTTCTATCGATAGGAACCCCTTATGAGCTTTTTAGCTTAATTTAAGAATAAAAAAAGTTGATTTGAAAACTTAAGAAGTTAAGAACCTTAGTAAGTGTTGATTATTTTTTTGACATCTAATGAGAGAACCTCATAGAGGTTCTTAATTTTTTTTATTTTTAAAGTAGAATGATTTAAAATAAAAAATACATAAATAGTTTTAATAAAAATGAAATAAAAGCATATTAAAAATACAAATACAAATCGTGAAAAAGAAAAAAACCGATTAGTTGAAATCTTGATTTGTTCCAAATTTTTGCCATATATTCTCAACCCAATCAGCTTTCAATTGTTGTATTGTTTTATCATGAAATCGATTCCAAATGCTGATTATATTGCTGAGATTTGAAGGTATATCTGTCGAATACGTGAAATAAACATGTGAATTTTGGTTTGAATCCGGTTGTGCGAAAGATGACACATCAAACTGAGTGTACACATCTCGTTGGTCTTCTACGTTCATATTATGTAAAATGATACATGCTCTCATTATCTTTCTAATTTTTATTGTATCCCACAAAAGAGCTGGATTTTTTACTATGGAAAATCGAGCTTGCAAGATTCCAAAAACACGCTCGACATCTTTACGTACAACTTCTTGATGTGTAGCGAATAAGGATGCTTTCGGACCTTGTAAAAGTGGAATGGATTGGACAAAAGTATCCCATTTTGGATAAATATCATCTGTGAGATACTAAGACAAATTGTACTCGTGTCCGTTGACAATGTAATTAACCTTTGGAGCTCAACCTTGTAATATATCATCAAAAACCGGTGATCGATCAATAATATTGATATCGTTTAGTGTACCTGGAGGTCCGAAAAATGCATGCCATATCGAGAGATCTTGTGAAGCTACAACCTCTAAAACAATGGTTGGCTTTCCTGATCCACATGTATATTGACCTTTCCATGCGGCCGGAAAATTCTTCCACTCCCGATGCATACAATCAATGCTTCCTATCATCCCAGAAAATTCACGTATCTCTCCAATATTGAGTAGTCAATGAAGATCTTCTGGCGTGGGTCTTCTTAGATACTCATCTCAAAATAAATTTATGACTCTTTCAACAAAATGTTCCAAGCATAAAAGTGCGGTGGTCTCACCGAGTCGGAGGTATTCGTCGACCACATCAGCTGGGCAACCATATGCCATCATACGAATAACTGCTATTTCCTTTTGTAACAGGGAGTGACACAACTTTCCAGTAGAATCTCTTCTTTGTTGAAAGTATGAACAAGAGCTTGTTCATTCGAAAATGGCGTCGAAACATATGAGAATAATATGTTGCATCTTCACTAAAATAATCATTGCATAATGCATATGTCCTTGTTCTCATTGTCTTTCATTCGAAAATGGAGTCGTACTTTATTGACCTTAATGCTTCTTGGCGATTTTCATGTTGAGTGAGGAGATTCTCGAATTGTTGATTGAAAATTTGATCAAATTTTTCATCCATTTCCTCAAAATTATTAGAAGAAGAAGATGCCATTTAAGAAAATCCAGAAGGGAAAAAATAACATTAATATTAAATATTATGTTAAAATCTATCAACATACATATCCCCTATATATTAAAGAAGAAACATTACAATATTTTTTGTAGCCACGTGTCACTACCACATTCATTTTTAAAATTGTTAGAAAAATATGTTGGTGTCGTAAATCAGAGAGAATTGTAGAGAAAAATTGCTTGTATTATTATTGATCATAAGAGGTTCCTTATATAAGGATTACAAAAATAGTAAAAAAGGAAAGTATCCAAATTCTAGTACAACAAGGATTATGAAAATTACTATTACATGAATAAGGAAAACAAGGCACATGGCCGCCTATGATCTAGTATGGCCGAATGGGCCTAATGCCCAATGGCTTGGTTATGGGTCATCCACTAAATGGTTTATAACACTCCTCATTGGATGCCATAACCATACAAAAGTTTGTAACGTGCTTAATGTTGCCTCATTAAAACCTTTACCAGGAAAAACCCAACTGGGACAAAACCATGATAAAAGAAAGAGTACAACACACATTACTCCCCCTGATGAATACATCACTGAAGGTCTTTCAGTCGACAAATCCCAATCTTATAAATCAGCTTCTTGAACATCGAGGTTGGGAAAGACTTGGTGAAAAGGTTCGGCTGAGTTATCACTGGACCGTACTTGAACCACCTGAACCTCATTGGCCTTTTGCATATCATGGGTAATGAATAACTTAGGCAAAATATGCTTCGTCCTATCTCCTTTTATGTATCCATCTTTGAGTTGAGCTATACATGCTGCATTATCCTCATAGATGATCGTTGGTTCATCCTTTCCCACGACCAATCCACTGTCCACACGAATATGGTTGGTCATAGACCTCAACCAAACAAGCTCACGACTTGCCTCATGCATTGCTAAGATCTCTGCATGGTTGAACGATGTGGTAACAAAGGTCTGTTTCATGGACCGCCAACAAACTGCAGTTCCACCATGTGTAAAAACATATCCAGACTGTGATCTAGCATTATGTGGATCAGATAAGTATCATGCATCTGCATATCCAATCAAACTTTCTTTGGACTGATTGGTAAAGAACAAACCAAGATCTTTGGTTCCTTGCAGATACCGTAGTATGTGTTTAATCCTGTTCCAGTGCCTTGATAGTCGGACAAGAGCTAAATCTAGATAGTAGATTCACGGCAAAACAAATGTCTGGTCTAGTGTGGCTAGCCAGATACATTAAAGCTCCAATGGCACTGAGGTAAGGTATTTCCGGACCAAGGACTTCCTCGTCCTTCTGCTTTGGTCAGAACGGGTCCAGGTCCGGGCTTAGGGACCAGACGACCATAGGACTCGACAATGAGTGAGCCTGGTCCATATTAAACTTCTTGAGTACCTTTTCTGTACATGCTTCTTGAGGCACAAGGATTCCATTGTTTTTGTACTTAAGCTGTAATCCCAAACAAAATTTTGTTTTTCCTAAATCTTTCATCTCAGACTCTTTCTTGAGATATTCAACTGTTTGGAAAATCTCTCCAGAGGTTCACATATACTGCTATGATTACCAAGCCCTTATTTTCGAATTTCATTATAAAGATACAAGGACTTATTGGATCATTCTTATAGCCCTCTTTCACTAGGTACTCACTTAGTCTATTGTACCACATTCGACCTGGTTGCTTTAATCCATACAAGGATTTATTCAGTTTTATGCAATGCTGTTCTCGAGAACCTTTCTTAGTTTTGAGCTCAATACACTCTGGAACTTTCATATAAATCTCATTTTCCAATGGACCATACAACTATGCTGTTACTACATCCATTAGGCGTAAATCCAAATTCTCTTTTATAGCCATACTGATTTGAAAATCAAAATGTCGTTGCATCCACCACAGGGGAATAAGTTTCCTCATAGTCTATTCCTGGTCTCTGTGAGAATCCTTGTGGAAAAAACCGTGCTTTATATGTCACTACTTCTCCTTTCTCATTTCTTTTCCTCACAAAGACCCATTTGTGTCCTACTGGGTTTGACATCACTTGGTGTCAATATTATAGGGCCAAAAACGCCTCTTTTCTTTAATGATTCTAACTC